TTTGTTTCAAGCCTGGTGAATCTCAGTGCAAGAAGCTGAACAAAAAAGGCAAATTTTGTACAATGTTTCTTACCATTTAGTTGTGACACTGTAAAGTTGCAAATGTAGTTTACACATTCAAAACTGAAAGTTCCTAGCAATGGTTTCATGCCAGCAAGTGTTGCATGAAGTTTAATCAAAGTCGAGAATAAACTTTTTCTCATTTTGCATTGGCTAACAGGTTATGCGCTAAACGACATTTTCACGTCCACCAGTCTAACCACACCTTGAAGTTGGCATTCTTATCCTTGGTGTACAAATGGACTCCTGAGCATTCCGGTTTTCTTAATACTGCTTTTAAATGACCGAAATACACACATACAAACACACAAACAGTTAGCATAATATGGAAACATGAAATCAAGAAAAAAATGCAGAATGTGTCAGCCACAGCCGGAGCTACATGTAGGAGCAGGCCCTCTTTTCACAGTCCGTACGTAGAACGTGACGCGAGAAAAAAGCCTGAGAGAAGAAATGGGTGAGAATTGCTAACTTTAATCCTGGCCAAACCTCCTTGGGACACTTGTCAAAATGCGAACTTGTGACGCGTTATTTTGAAGTGGGAGGTCATTATTCAATTTTCCACGTCCCCCCTCCCCCAAAGCAATGTTGGAATAGCGGGTGTACTTTGGATGAATCAACATTGTGTTGGGGGTGGGGCGGGGAAGATGGACGGAAAGACCATAAATTTTATGTGTTGGCAAAAGTGCAAAGTGCCCCAAGACTTTTGACTAGGATTGTTGATTTGTGATTTCTTTTCTAGGTCGGCGGTGTTGGCATTACGCTCACCAAAGCTGATCGTGTGGTAATCTGTAAGTTGATACTGACCCTGATAGAAAAATCTTACGATGTCAGTTTCTCGTAAGCTGCATACTTTAAATTTACAATCTGTCTTTGGTCTTGATTTGGTTCTGATTTTTCCACAGTTGATCCTAGTTGGAATCCCGCCTCTGATGCACAAGCTGTGGACAGGTCAGATGATGTTCCC